CAAATCCCAATGTGAATTGCTAAAATTGATCAGAATAAAAACTGTTTTTTTATTGAATATACCTGTCCTTTAAGTTCGACATCTCATCCCTCATAGTTGTATTCTTTATTGGCAATTAACTTGCATAAAAGTATGATGCTAAAATGTATAAATTTGTAGATGCTTGATATTAAGCATAAAAAAGTTTGCATTGATATGTGACTTATCTTGGTAAAGTGACTATACAGAGATATTATTGATAAGTGAATTATTAATATATTTTTGGATATTGGGCTATGATAATAGTTATTATTAGCTACCTCTGCTAAATGACACCAAGAGATATGAAAATAACAGAGTTCAATTTAAGTGATTGAGATTGTATATAATTTTCACTACATAATTTTTATTTAGTTGTATTAATCATTGAAGTTGAACTCTTAAAAATATAGGTTTGTATTACATACCTCTAGTTTACTTTAATAGTTAATAACAATAGATTGGGATAATTGTCTAACAAATTATCATATGTCTTTCTTGAATAACTGATATAATAGGAAAGTCAACTTCATAATAGATGAATTTTTAAATTTTGAGTTTGCACTTATTTTTTAATAATTCAAATAATTTTTTGGTAATGTTGGCTAGTTCTTCTTTTGTACTGCTTTGTCGAATTCATTACTATTGCATATTAAATTTTTTGTTAAATATCATATGCCTTTGCTTCAAATTGCTTGGCTATTTAATTTAGATACAAATGTATAGATTAGGTTCAATATAGTCAAATAAAAGTTTTTTTCAATAAGCACAGTGAACAAGACTTCTGAAATATCCATTATTTAACTAGTATATTGTATATCATTAAATTTTTTTAAAATAAAATAGCTCTGTAATAAAGAATAACACTATGTATTAAAGCTTTTACAAGTTTTGGGGTGGTTAGAAAAAAGAAAGTCGAATAAGCTAATTCAAATCTTTAAAAATTTTTTTATATACATGTATTTGATAGTAATATAAATCTAAAAACATAATGAGATTCGTGTAACATAACTTTAAAGTTAATACTGTAATACAGTTAATACTAGTGCTAAACTGGTATTTTAGTGATAGACTTTCATTAAATTAACCAATCATATTATTTTAATTATATTACATATTAGATGTTAGTTAACTTGTAATATTGCATAAATATATAATGCACAATTGTCCTAAACCAGGCTGTAATAGATACTTTAATCATCATTCTTCTGTGTGCAATCATTTAAAAATCTATAATAATACAATTAGAGACCTTCTTCAAGAAATTGTTATAGCAAAAGACAGTAATAACATATTATTAAAGGAACAATTTATTCAATGGGAAAATGAAATTAATAACCAATAGAACAATAACTAGCTAAATGAAATAGATGGGTTTTCATTTAATAATAACGAAGATATTGAACCAGAAATAGAAAACAATATAATAGATAAGATAACAAATAGGTTAGAATTTAGTTATAGTGAAGAAATAAATAATGAAGATAATGAAATAAACTATGAAATAGATAAAAGTGTTGAAGTAGATAAAATAGATAAAACAAACAGACTAGAATTAGTTATAGTAAAGAAATAAACAATAAAACTAATGAAATAGATAAAATAGATGAAGCAAATAATGATAATATTGAGATAGATGAAATAAATAATGAAGATGCCATAGATGAGATAGGTGAACCAGAGGTACATAAGTACTGTATATAGTATGTACATACATTATATATATGTAGTACATACATATATATTAATATATATTTTTAAGGGTTTTAAGTTTTATTATATAACTCAATAATTACAAAAATTATATATATATGTATGTATGTAGATGGACATTGTAGAGTGTTGATTGTTTGAGGTTAAGCACTATTAGTTTTTGAGTTCCTTGATGTTGAGTCAGCAAATAGTGAGGATTTGCCAAATTTTCCAAGTGAAGAATTCAGTGACTTTATGAAGTTAGTTATTAAATGGAATTTGTCAGATTTATGTATAAATGAAATATTTCATTTTTCAAAAAAAATAGCACATAATAATATTATTTTACCTACCTCAATACAACAAGGGAAGCAGTGTTTAGACAAAATTATGGTGCAACATATTTCTTTTAAGAAAGTACTTATAGTAGAATATGAAGATAAAATATACTATCTTAATTATCGTTCAATTTTTGATGCTATTAAAGAATTGTTAAGCAATGAAGATATACTTAATTATTGTGTCTTTGAGTTTACACTATTGTACTACCAAGGGCAATGGATATATTATGAACAATTTAATGAAAAATAGTGAGAAAGGGCAAAAGAAACAATTCCTTATAATGCAAGCATTTTATCAATAATATTATATTCTGATGCTACTACATGTGACCAACTAGAAAAATCAAATGAACATTTAGTATATTTAACATTAAGCAATATTTTTAGTTGGTGCAAAAACAAACCTGATGCTAAAGCTCTTTTGGCTTATCTTTCAATCTTAAAATCAAAAACAACTACTCAAAAAAAATCAA